TTTTTTTTTTTTTTTTTTTTTTTTTTTTTTTTTTTTTTTTTTTTTTGTACTTTTCTTCTCAATACCCAAATTGCATTCTTATCTTGCCCCAGAAGCTCCACATATATAGCGTTGTTCCAAAATCCATATATTTGAAAGAGAAAAAGAAAACAAAGGAAAGTTAAAAAGGAAATATGACAACTGCTTTGTCCTAACCTTTCTGGTTTATAGCAACATCAGTGGTCTGGATTACCATCCCTACCTAGTGGCCTTTTGGAGTGGATTTACCATGAATCAATACCATTTTTTTCTTTCCTCCTTTTTACTTCTGAGATATTTTTTTATAGGTCATTTCATGTTCAATTCTGCCCTCCTGGGGATGTGCCTTAGGCTAAAAAGAGAAAAAATAAAAGAAAATAAAAGAAGATAACTCTTTCTATTTTAGTGTATAAATGGTGTTGTTTTCTCAGTACCACTCTTCAAGCATTTTTGGTATTTCCTGTAACTAGAAGTTCCACCTAGTAATATTTTCTTATTTCATTATTATTTTGTTTTGTTTTTAAGTTTTTGAATGATTAAGTGCTTGTTAGCCTTTAATAGATTTGTTTTAACTTTGGAAAATAGGCAGATGAAATGAGCTGTGAGTTTTGGTGTTGATTGAGTGACAGAAAAAGTATGTAATATTTACCAGAAAAGGAGGCAATGACGCCGGTGAACAGTGGATTCGAATCAACAATAATATCTACCAACTAGCTAGATCTGCAAGAATCGAAACAGATCTCTCAATAAATATCCAGATAAATGGTTCTTCATTGAACGGTAGTAGTCAATAATCAAACACCCATTTAATACCTGTCATTTTATGACTGTAATTTTTCATACTGAAGTTCAAGGGCATACTAAGAATCCCTTTTGGTGGATCGGATTATAACAAACTTTTGAGTAATTTGTACGAACATCTTTATGAAATTGTATTAAAAAAATTATAAGACAAGATAATAAATAAAATAATACAAAAATCTATTATGATTCATATGTTTCATGTCAAAAGATTAATAAGTTCATTTATTTAATTGGACATTCCTCATTCCTTTTCTATATATACTCAAGTAGATATTACTTAGTATAATTATAAGATACCTTTTATAACAATCAATAAATAATCAGTGGGATTCTAATATATATATATATATATATATAGCTAAGCAGTATGGAGTGAGAATTTGTGGAATTTATAAATGTCTAAAAAATTACTTTTGTTTGACAAATTTCTTTTAACTTTCATAATTATAACTTACAGACTACTCCACATAAAATTAAAATTTTAGGATTTTATTATACATAAAATTTAAACTTATTATTTTAAAATAATTCAAATTTGTCAAAGTAGACAGGAGTAAAAGTCTAAAGATTTGTACAGTGTCTAGGGACCAAATATATACTAACCTCAATTTTCATCACCAGTTCTCAAAACCATTTTTAAAAAATATTTTTATTTCTGTTTTAAGGTAATATTTTTGAAAATCCAACAAATTGTGAGAACTATTTTTTTCTTTAAAGTAGTCACCAATAAGCTTAATTTTTATAAATAGAAAAGAAAAGAAAAGAAAAAGGAACATTACGTACGCCGAAGATGATGGAAGAAATTGAAAGCGACTCCCTTGAGCCTCACATTTGTAAGGGCTTTCCAATGACCCGGGCAACACCTACATGAACAGAAAATTTGAATGTTTGTTATTACGGAAGCATCGCAATGGCAGGATTTTAAAGCTATAAACTGGAAAAAGCCTGAAAAGAACTCCTCCTTGTCCCTTGAAGCTGTGAATGTTACATACAGTTTTCCATCTTAGGGAAGAGATTCTTCATAACAGCCGCTAGCTTTGGGGAGAAAAATGGTGGATAGTCTTTCACCTATTAAGGTTCAGTCATATAACATAAACTATAAAATATTAATAATATAAAAGTTCTGAAAGATGAGCAATTAGAGATTCAATCCTATAACTTTTAAAAGAGAATCTGGTTGTTATTTCAATAATATATAGTAGACATAATGAAGTTCCTGTAGCCTACTTTTACTTTTTCATTATTATTACTTTAATTTAAAGAACGAACTGTTTGGAATGACAATTGTTTTATCCATTGAAGTGTTTGTGATTCTTAGTTTAAAGCACAGGAGCTGTTTTCAGTACTGATAAGAAGCGGAAAAAAGGGACAGATCTTAGTAGGTTATGATCTTAAGGCGGATGAAATTTTAGAGAAAAACATCTAAAAGACGAGAGGATTTCACCTATTATGCATCTTAGTCCACAACAGGGATAAATTCTACCGAAAATCTGAACGCCAACATCTTATTTTGTGAAAGAATAGAAGGATAATGCAGTAGGACATTACTGTGGTCCGAGTGGCTTTCAGTGGATCAATGAAGCAGTCTCACAAAATTAGCGAATCAATTGCATACTTTCAGTCACTTCAATTCCTCCTTCACCATCACCTGATGCATGAGGTTATATGATCTGTAATAGGCAAAACAAATTAGTAGAGAGGCTTGGAAGAAAATTGAGATGGTACTGATGCGCAACAAAAATGCAGCAAATCAATAAGAGGGAGAGAACCTGGATCTGATTCAAGTCCAACAGTTGGAAATTCTCCTAAAGCAGAATTGCTTTGATCAGAAACTTCATTTCACACTGTTTTATGAATCTATAAAGGCTTCTCCCCTTCCAAAGAAATCAAAATGTTCTCAAAACTTACGATCAACTGTTCGTTATCGCTTAACGCCGCTTCAGTTGCTTTCTTCGCCTGTAGTTTGTTTGACAGACGAAATCCGAACATGACAGTACTTATCAAAGCTAAATGCAATGTGAAACAAAAACATGAAAAAGGCTAAGCGAAGTTAATTGAAGAAGCTACCTGCTAAAATGACACAAGAGACATACACAGCATTGAAGTGACAGTAAAGAAATCGGCTCCGAGAAGTAAAAAAGAGAAACAGAAGTGATCGAAACCATACTTGATCAAGAAGATCAGGCTAATCGCGAGGAAACAGAACGTCGAAATCAGTCGAGTCATTTCTACTCTCGTGATTACTCGAACTCGCCGAGATTTCTAAACGCCATAAACCCGATCATTGAACTAGAATCGAAACTGAAATGAAACTTCCGGTGCGAAATCCTGAAACACGCAAACTACAGATAGAAACAGAGGAAGAATACTTGAGGAAAAAGATCAAACGAAGTAATATACAAGAGAACGCCACAGAAATCGAGGAAGAAACTTCAAAAAATTACATATCCAGATGAAAGTGGAAGAATCGCAATCGGAATGGTAGAGCAAACGAAGAAATTCGCGTTTGGCATTTTTTTTTTTCCTGTCGGAGGCCCCGCCTGCGGAACGAAGCACTTCGAATGTGAAACGGAAAATCGAGAGAGAGGGGGAGAGAGAGAGAATATTGACAATTGATATTCTCTCCTCCAAACGAGAGGCCCGAATGGATTCAAACAAACTTTCGTTCTCAGTTCTTTTATTTATTTATTTTTATTTTTAATTAATATATGTTTCAGTAAAAAATGTTCCAATTTTAAATTAATTTTAAATAATTTTAAATTAATCAAAAAATAAAAATTTTCTATAAAAACCATAATATATGGATGATTTTTTTCGACAGGTGCACTTAAATTAAAAAATATGAAATATTATAAAATAAAAATATTACCATTAGTATCATATCCTATTCATTCGGGATAATAAAAATACAAGTGAGCTCGAGTCCCTTTGGAAAATCCCCAATTTAACCCTTGACTTGGTATGGGATCAAACCGAGATCATTTTCGAGTCTCTAGATGGGAACAAGGAAGCCCCTGTAAATGATTAGAACAGGAATTCCCGAAACCGAGAATAGGAGGGATAGAGGTGGAGAGTTCATCCTCATCCTCGGCCTCGTCCCACCCTGATGTCATCTTACTACTAATTAATGTCCAAGCAAATATACTACTATGTTCAATTCATATCCGATCTATTTCAAACTTCTAATCTCTTCAAAAAGTATATATTTTTAAAAAAAAAATCTTATAAATTAGTCACACTAATTCTTTAGTCTTATCAAGAATAAGATCGCAATTGAAAATATCATTATATTGTGAGTAACATTTCCACAATTCGTACTTCTTCTATTGTCTCACCCGTGTCTCCCCATTTCTTACACTCTCGTCTTTACAAGAGAGTAAGAGAGTGAAAGAAAGGAGAAGATCGAGAAGCCAAGGGCTAAGTAAGCTCCACCCCCTTACAGTCTATAAATTGAAAAGACTGCAAGCGAGCTTTAATCTTTAAACTTTTCGTCAAAAATCTCGCCTTAACATTTACAATATCGTATTCTCAAAAAGAAAGTAAGTCCTAGAACGTAAAAAAATGAATGTTCCTAGGTAGCCTAAAGTAACAATACTTTGTTTTTCTTAAAAGAAACAAAAATTTGCTATAATTAGCGTACAAAATGGAAAGTAAAATGTACATACATGCAAGAATTATATAATTTGTTCAAATAAAAAGAGAAAGGGCATGTAAATTACCAAATTAGAACCTGATGGTGTGCCAGCTTCGTCTCACATAAAACAACCTTTAAAGCCTTTTCTAAGGGCAGTTTCGTCCAAATTCTTTCCTATGAATACCAACTTGTTTACCCTCTTTTCATCAGGGCCCCATTCTTTGCCTGGGCAGCCATCCAAGATAGAGTGCACTCCCTGGAATATGAAATAAACAATAACAACCATTGATTTAGTTATTTTTAGCAAATATTTTCATTTTTTACTCCAAACTCGCAAGTTATCGACTTTCAATTTTATCTAATAATGTAACGGTCCAAGCACACCGCTAGCAGATATTGTCCTCTTTGAACTTTCCCTTTCGGGCTTCCCCCTTAAGACTTTGAAACGTGTATGCTAGGGAAATGTTTCTACACCCTTATAAGGAGTATTTCGTTCTCCTCCCCAACCAACGTGGGATATCACAAATAAGAACTCTAAACTTGAATAAACCCGAATTGATTTTAGGTATTTTGTTCATATGACTTGTCAGTTGGCTCATGATTAATTTTCAAATTTGGTTTAGAGAAAGTATTACTTTTACTAATATGACCTTACTTGAACAAGATCCGATCGGACAAATGTTACTTTTACTATTTTTTCAAAACCAATATAAAACAATATGGAAATGTAAGCTAAGCATGGCTTATTCCTTGATTTTTAAAATACTTAGTTATAAGAACATTCAAAATGAAGAAGAAATGAAATACCTGAAAGACATAACGCTGCTCATAACCCTTTACACTCAACACTCCTTTCATTCTATACAAGTCCTCTCCTTTCTCCTCGATCAATCGTTCAAGCCAATCGTCAACCTACAGGATGCACTTCAAGCATTGTAAGGACTAAAATCCGCACCATTTAGCGTCAACAGATTATAGAAAACATAGTTCAACAAAGACGAGTTCGATATAATTGCAGAAATGGCAAACTTTTAGCTAACTAAAGAGTAAACACTCTTCAAAATTTTCATGGTGTTTGGTTCTGTAGTTAAAAAAAAGTTTTAGAAATGCTAAGAACACTTAAAAGTCCATTTAGAGAAGTGAAATGCCAAAGACATAAAACATAGTATAGGACCATTATTACCTCATCAAGGTCAAGTAATCCCTCAGAAACAATACTAACACTAGACACAGCAGAGTCATGTACATGGTCATGGTGATGATGGTGATGATCATGTCCCTTGTGCTCTGTAAAATTAGCCAAATAATTAAATTATGCATTATTTGGGGTAATTTAAAAATGTAACACATTCAAATCACAAAATACTTCTAAAAATAGCTAATGGTCATATACAAACTACTTATTTTGAAAAATGTTCAAGAGGGCAAAAATACCATGTTCAGTTTCATGTTTGTGGGTGTTAGCTTCAACTTGAGAATCAATTCTGTACAAGATACACAAGGTTCAAAATATTTATATGTCATAATGCTTTAAACAAGGGGAACAATATGTAAAAGACAAGAAAACTCTGATGCAACAAGATAATGTGACCTGTCAAGATCATATCCACCCACTCCTAATACGAAGTCGACATCAACATCTCCAAACTTAGCAAGCTTGACTTGGGCCATCGCATTTATTCGCTGCAAGATAGATGTAACATATATAATTTATAAATCATGAATCAGTTAGGGTAAAGAAGAGTATAAAATGCATTTTACGTGGTCTTTCGAACCAACAATGTATCATCAACATGAACCTAAAAACATCATATGAGAAACATTTCCTTTTTATTTTTTTGGGGGCTGTTCTCGTTCATTCCTAACTGGCCCCATAGACATGTAACAATTGGAATTAAATGATATACATTTGAGCTCCTAACCATTTAGCCAGTTTTATCTCTCTCTTGATCATATTTAATTGTACATATTCACCGATGATCACAAATCAAGGAAACGAATGCAATGATTACCTTAATCTTCAGTGTCAGTTCCTCCAATTCATCTGGACTTACAAGATCAATCTGCCAATACAATGTGGACAGAATAACTTTGGGTTAAAAGCTGAAGTTGTTTCATAGTTGGATTCCTTTAGTATGGAAAATAACTTAAGAGTTGAAAGATAAGTTAAGCCCAAGGCACAATGTCCAGAGCAATAATTTATCACCTTGTTTATTATAATCCGATCAGCATAAGCGACTTGTTCTACAGCCTCATTCACTACAAATCTTGGTTTCACTTCATTCAAGTGTTGCATGGCATGCTTGGAGTCAACTAAAGTTACAACTCCATCTAATTTGACATAACGTGAAACCAGCTCATCTGTACAAAACGTTTCTATAACAGGAGCTGGCTTAGCAAGGCCTGCATCAATAATTCCAAGTTCCAACCATCACTACCAAAAATTTATCGTCATTGCCCATCTATGTGAACTTTCATTAAAGGAAAGGGCTAGAAATACCGTTGAAGTGGCTATAACCAAATTTACGACTTTAACAAAGAACAAAAAGATTATCAACGAAACAGGCAAACAAAAAATGTATGGTGCGGTGTTTCATCATTCTTTTTTAGCATAAATTTTATCAAGAGACATAAACTATTCTGATGATGATGTTCTGAAGTTAAAATTTCAGACTCATGTAATGGGTTTCCCTTTGTTTGGTTTTTACTATTCACCTATAATCTTACCTTCAAGGCACACAACTAAAGCCTTCTTCTAACAGTTCTAGACCTGTTTCCCTTCCTACCGCAAACAGCTTGTCTAATGCAACCATGGCCTTTCTTAAATGCAGCACATAATAATTTCCCAGAGGTGTCCACAAAGATCAGATTGTTATGTTGTTTGAATTTCCATTAATAAGTTTAAGCATGTGGAAGATAGGCATGACGCATGAGGACCTTGGACATTGTGAGTTTAATTCTAGCTATCTTTGAACTACTACTTCTCAATCCTCTCATAATACCTACTCAGTGAATTAACACTTACAACTTACAAGCAACCAGTTGGAACAAAATATATATTTTCATTGAAGATTAAATAAGAGGGTTCCGGCTACAACATAAGTGAATGGAAAAATGATCAAGTACCAGTTCATACGCAATAAACACAAATGTATCTTTCTCCTAAAAAAACAAAATGGCTAATTAAACGTGAAGAATATACCTGTGGTTTCAATAACAATATGATCAAACTTGTCTCGTTTATTCTTGGCCAGCTCCAAGAGCATCTTAACCAGATCACCTCGCACAGTGCAGCAAAGGCATCCATTATTAACCATAACAATGTCTTCAGCTACGGAGGAGTGACTGGCAACCAATGATCCATCAATATCCACCTCACCAAACTGCAAACAGTGATCACGGTTTAAAATAATAGAGCATAAGCGAGGTTGATAAGCAGGCCAAAACCCCTCAAGACCGAAGTATTTCTCAAGTGAAATAGTACCATCTCTGAAAAGTATGGTGCATACCTCATTTTCAATGACAGCAATCCGCTTGCCATGTTGAGATGTCAAAATATGATTGAGGAGAGTCGTCTAATAAAAACATAAAAAAAAAAAAAAATCAAATCAACCGGAAGAAGAAAAAAAACAACAAAAGTAAGCAAGTCACAAGCACAGACTTCACTTCTTCCTTCGATTTTACATCAACAAAGAAAACTCATCGAAACTATTCCGATAAACATTTCCCGTCAAGAACAAAGAACCATATTATGGTGAAAAAGAATCTGTATCATAGTGAAAATCAATCGCTACGCATTGATATCGAAATGGCAACCGACGAAGCATACGCAAACAGAAGAATCAGCAACGACTCAAACAATTACCGAAGTGGAATTTCATCTCAAAAATCACACGTAAAACTAGCCAAAATAAGAAGATTCAAAGAGATAGAACCTTTCCAGAGCCGAGAAAGCCAGTAATCACAGTGGCGGGAACACGAGTATCAGTGCCGAGAGCAGTAGCAAGAGAACTTTCAGGAGCTGAGACGAAACTTCTGGAGTATGAAGGGACAGAGATTGCATGATTAGAGAAATTGGAATCTCGGAAAAGAGAAGAACAGAGGTTTGGAAGAAATGGAGAAGCTGAAGAAGAGGAAGAAGAATGGAAGCGAGGTTGGAAGAGGAATTTCGTCGAAGTTCTTCGGACAAGAAATGCAGTAGCCATTGGATGAAGCTATGGATGCCGTTGGAGTTCTGAATTCATAAACCCTATTCAGAACCTCGTGGTTAGGGAGTTTTAAGAAGAAGAAGCCACGCACGATACTGTGTTCTTTTTTTTCTTTGTTTCTTTGTTTTTGTTATATATATATATATATATATATTTTTTTTTTTTTTTTTTTTTTTTCAA